TGCAAGCATCTTGGCAGGGCCCGTATAAAGTATTAGCCTAGGTATGTGATACTACCTATCCTATAGCCAGCTGTGCAGATGAAAGGATTCAGCGATCCTTTCATGTGAACATGCTGAAGGAGTATCAGGAGAGACCAGAGGATGTTGCGGCAGTATGTGCCCCAGCTACTGACGACCCTCAGAATTTACCCTTGCCTGACTTATTAGAAAAGGATCCCCAGACTGACCTTACTAGTCTTGTACAGCTAGGGGAACGGTTGAACCCTGCAGAGAAGGTACAGGCAAGACAGCTTCTGTGGGAGAAGCAGGAGACATTCTCCCAAGAACCCGGGTACACTACCCTAGCTGTGCACAAGGTCGAGACACCCGGACAGAAACCCCTACGACAACCCCCATACCGTATCCCTGAAGCAGTCCGAGAAGGAATGCGGAAGGAGATACAGGAGATGACCAGGCTGGGGGTTATCGAGCACTCAGACAGCCCTTGGGCCTCCCCTGTAGTCCTGGTGCCTAAGAAGGATGGGACCACCCGGTTCTGTGTGGACTACAGGCGACTCAACGAGCGGACCACCACTGACGCCTACCCGATGCCCCGGGTAGACGAGTTATTAGACTGCATTGCCAGGGCGCGCTATCTGACCACCGGGTAGACGAGTTATTAGACCGCATTGCCAGGGGGCGCTATCTGTAAAGGTTATTGGCAGATTCCCCTGGCCGAGGATTCGTCACTCCATTTGGTCTGTACCAATTTAAGGTCATGCCATTTGGGATGAAGAATGCTCCGGCTACCTTCCAGCGTATGGTGGATAGGCTCCTCGATGGCTTCCAGGAATTTGCATGTGCATACCTGGATGACATTGCGGTCTACAGTGAGTCCTGGAAAGAACACCTAGTACACGTGGGGGTGGTGCTGGACAAGATTCGGGCCGCAGGCCTGACCTTGAAACCAGACAAGTGCCATTTAGGCATGGCAGAAGTGCAGTACTTGGGTCACAGTGTAGGATGCGGGAGCCAGCGACCAGAGCCAGCCAAGGTAGAGGCTGTAGCTAACTGGCCCACACCTATCACCAAGACCCAAGTGCTGGCCTTCCTGGGGACGGCAGGGTATTACCAACGTTTTGTCCCGACTACAATACAGTTGCCAAGCCCTTGACTGACCTGACTAAGAAAAATTTACCTAAGCAGGTCCTGTGGTCTCCAGCTTGTGAAGCCGCGTTTCAGGCATTGAAGCAAGCTCTTGTGAATGCCCCTGTCCTGGCTGCCCCAGTCCCTAACAAACGTTTTCTTGTTCATAAAGATGCTTCCATGTATGGACTGGGGGCTGTGCTGAGCCAGGTCGGGGAAGATGGAGGAGAGCACCCTGTCGCATACTTAAGCAGAAAGTTACTACCTCGGGAAGTGAGTTATGCGGCAGTGGAGAAGGAGTGTTTAGCCCTGGTCTGGGCACTGAAGAAGTTGAGCCCTTATTTGTACGGGCAGGAGTTTTCCCTTATAACGGACCACAATCCCCTTGTCTGGCTTAACCGGGTCTCAGGAGACAATGGCAGACTGCTGAGGTGGAGTTTGGCACTGCAGCCCTACAACTTCACCATCAGCTACCGACCCGGTAAGCAGAATGGGAATGCGGATGAGTTATCCCGGCAAACAGACGTCCCTACTCCTTCCCAGTCCGATCATCCCCAAGTTGACCCGCCAAAGGGTCAAGCCGGGTTTGCCGGAGTGTTCCACAAGGGGGGAGCTGTGTGACAGACCCATCTGTATGAACTAGAATTGCTGTGTTCGTCTGTTTTGCCGTTTGTATGAATTTCCCCATTCGTATGCCTTGTTTAAGGGAATGTATTTTTTTTGTCGAACGGAACTACCGAACGGACGGCCACCCAGAAGAGACGTGTAACCTATTGATCCCAATTAGAATGTTGCGGTTAACCAGAGACACTTCTCAATTAAAACCGAATACAGGGTGGTCGTCGTTCGTATGTCGACCACGAGGCGGCGGCTATTTTAACTATGCGAAAGACCAGCGGTGTTCGACGGTTATTTTATGGAACTAAAAACGGACACTTTTTCAACCGAACACTGCTGAAGCCGTCGACCTCCCCTTCTCAATCGACAAAAGTAGGCGAATACCGGCCGTTCGAGAGGTTTAAAGGCACGAGTGGACTTACCCCAGATAGCCTTCCCATGGAGTCAATCGCATACCGAAGAACTGTAATAGAGTTTGACTCCATGGCGATTGAACTATGCGTATGGGATCTGAGTGCTATTCGCCAATAATATGCACTCAGATCCAGGCTATCTGGGGATGTGTTATACGAATGTAATACATTCGGCAGTTATAAAGTTATGTATTTTAATGTGTTTTGTAACTTGTATTTAAAATGGCGATTTGCCTCTGCTCTGGGAGATAATTGAATTACTTCTCAATTATCTCCCGAGCAGAGGGGAGGAAACTGTGATGCATGCTGGGAATATTGTGGGGTTGTATGTCTAAAATGTCCCCATGTCCTTCTGTTATTCCAGTCTCCCATTTGGTCCCCTAGGGGAGTGTCCACCAAGTGGGAGACCTGCATAAATACGGGCAGGTAGCCCACAGTGAACTCAGTTAGTGTTTTACCCTCAAAGCGGAGCTTGGTCTCATTATTGGGGGGATTTTATTACCGGCGACTAGAGACTGCTTATTGGAATTATTTGCTGCTTGGGAGATATTGGCGTTTGGCTAATATTGGCAATTCGTGTAGTTGGAGCTCGTGAAGGGAAGGAGCCATACAGGTACCGTTCGGGGGTTTGGAGTGTTCCCTGGCTGGCGGTTCGCATGGTTATACTGCATACGCTACCAGACCACATTATTGCGAACGGGGAGCATTCACTAAACGGCGGTTTGTATATTTATTACTGGAGGTACCGTAACATGGTGTTGCGGTCTTCTGTTCCCTTTCCCAACAGCTGAGCATGAGTGATTATAGCTGCAGCAGGGAGTAGAGGAATAAGGTAGATGAAATGCAGTTCCAAGGTGATTCTTCCCAGCAAGTAGAATATCCCCAAACATGAGCCTAGACTTCATGAAGTGTGTAACAGTAATGAATTTTATTGACACACACAGGTTTTTATGAGAAATCCTCCTGCAAGAGGACCTCCCACAGCAAACAAAGACAACAGCCAATCAACGTACAGATTTACAGTAATACACGCCTCCTCTCTGCCTGGGAGATATTGAGATAAGTTAAGGAATAAACCAATTATCTCCAGGCAGAGAGCACACAATTTCCCCAAAACTTAGAACACCCCTTTCCCCACAAGGTATCCCCACAAATTACATATCCCCTGATAGCCCCGATCTGGGGGACAAACATATCCAAATTTCATCCAGATCGGTTCAGGGGTTCTGTAAAAGTCCCTTTTACATGCGGCTCCTGCCCACAACAGTTCCATGAATTCAGCGTGTGCAGTCGGTCAATTCACAAATCTGTAAAAAACAAACAAAAGTCCCGAATGGATCCCCCGGCTCATAACAGTGATTGCTCCCCTTGTCCGTTCGCATAGAACTACCGAACGGCGCTTCCCTGGCTGTTCGGGAAATACAAGAAGCCGGAGTTCGGTAGTTTCAGCGGTAACGCGAGGATCGAGTGTCCGATTTTAGTTCCAGACACTCGACGACCAAGTCCCGCTGACTCCCCTCACAAGATGGCCGCCGTTTTCTATTCCACGTGGCATTCGGCTATGCGAACAGCGGACGGCCAGGGAGCACTTAATAGCTGGTTCCTTTGTAGTTAATAAGCCAGGAGGGTGGTCGGCGTTCGGTAGTTTCAAACTAACGAACTAATACATTCATTATACAGGTAGTAACACAGGAAAAATACAGACTAAAGAAGAAAATGTCAATTAAAAGTCCATTTTCTTCACAATCTCCAAGCACAGAAAAAACATACAATTTTATGAAACCCCAAAAAGTACCTTAAAAACACACAAAACCCCAAAACCCCAGTCATATCCTGATAGCCCCCATCTGGATGAACAACATATCCAAAAATCACCCTGATCAATTCTGGCATTCAGGAATTTCCTGGAAGTCATTTATTTGACCGACCGCATGCATGGTCCCATGCCCAAAATAGTTCCAGAGAATCAGGGCTTGCGATCGGTCTAATTCAGTAGTTTAAAAACTAATAAACTACCAAACATAGTCAATGTTCTTACCCTGGAGCTTGTTCCCACCATCCAGACAAACAATTCCACCGAACAGTGCCCTTCTAACTTGTATAGAACTGAACGCAGGTGATGATGGAAGTCCAGCAGTGTTCGGGAGTTTCTGTGTCCGATTTTAGTTCCATAAGATTAATGCCCAAACACCGCTGCCTGCGTTCATGTGAACAAGATGGCCGCCTTTTCCTGTGAGTTTGCCACGTGTTTTTGGAGGGGCTTGGTTGCCAGCCTCTTGCCCCAGGACTATGGACCATGTGTTAAACTGCTATACAGACTGGAGAAACCAGTTCAGCCTATAGGACTAACAAATGGATTGTGCCTATGGTGTTCATTTATACGAACAAACTACCAAACAGCCGGACCACACACAAGTGGAGTGTGTCCCTCATTTACCTCCCAGGAGCTGTGGTTAACCGCAGCTAATTGATGAACGGCTGGATGGTCGCCGTTCGTATGGTCGAACGTGTGGCGGAGGCCATCTTGTTTAGTCGAACGCGTTCAACGGTGTTTGGTTGTCAAGTTCATGTAACTCAAATCGGACATGCAACGGCACTAACACCGCTGAATTTTACCTTCTCCAGAACTTCGATGCTTCGACGGGAGTCGAATAGCGTTCGACAATTCGAACGCCACCTTAACTTTGGCTATTTGCACGAACGGCCCATTCGTGCATTCGAACGGAAGTAAACCAAGGGAAATAGACCGGCAACACAGCCAAAATCTGTGGAACTGTTTTGGGCAGGAGATCCAGGCTGCGGTCGGTCAAAAGAGACTTCCGTAAACACTTGAACCCCATGACGATTTGACTGTGTTCGTAGGATCTGAGCGCTGTTCGGATATATTGAGCGCTAAGATCCAATCTATCGGAGGATATGTCACATGTGGGGGTTAAGTTCTGTGGAATATAAATTATGTATTTTAATGTGTTTTGTTGCAGTTGTAACTTGGAGATATTTTCTGTACCTGGAGATAATTAAGTTTACTTCAGCCACTTAAGCCAATTATCTCCAGGATAGAGTGGAGGAATTTTACTGTTTCTGTGAGAGTGTTTTACATTGTATTGTTATTTGATTGGTTACTGTAACTTGTGCATATTATTGGCGAATAGCGCTCAGATCCCAAGGGAGTATCCTTTGCTGGAGGACCTGCATAAAAGGCCAAGCTGTGGCCACCATTAAACAGATGATCTTGTACCTTCATGAAGCTTCGGCTCATGTTTGGGGGATTGCTATAATCACTATACTCCCCGGGGTATAATCACTAAACTATGGTAAGAGCTTGTTACTGTTCCTGCTCTCTGGATTTAGGAGAGGTTGACCTACTGGAAGCTGGGCCCTGGTCTTGGGTCTAAAGTGGGTGGAGAAAGCGAGACCCCAACCAAGCTGCAGCGGTTCGTGGGGTACGCGGTGGTTATGATGTCTGGTGGAGTGCTTGGAGCCCTCGGGAAGCACTAGGAGCATCCATCAACGGAAGGTACCCAGTCGGGGTGCCAGGCGTTCCGTTACATGAGTTTACTTTCGCTGCAAGGTTACTTTTGCCACAAGGGTGTTTATAATGTGTGTGTATATTGTTAAATGTTTTGTCTGCTCTTCTATACTGCTGAGGATTGCTACCAACTAGGTGGATTTTGCTATGGAGCTTGTGTAGGGCCCTCTTTTGGTAGCAACAGCAATATGCACTACCTGAATAGCAAGGCTATACTGCAAATTCTGCAGGCAGGAGAGATATTTTGTTCTGGTTATTGTCTTCCCCATCCCTTTATAAGTATGTTATGCTATTATAATTTCCTGTATATTTTGTGACATGTTTTGTTATTTGAATTTTATTATGTTTGTCACAGAAATGTATATGTAATGATCATATGAGCTAGCCCCAAGTAAAATAAAGTTTTGTATGTCAGTTCCTTTTGGAACTTGTGTCCTGTGTGGATTTGTAGTGATCCCAGTGACAGTAATTTGAACTGTTTGCAGGATCTCTCTTGCCCTGGGATAAAGCAAGAGAGCTAGGCCTGAGAGCCACAAATATCTTTTTAAAGACAAGAGATATAACCTTGCAGGCGGATGTGGATACCTGCCTGGAAGACTGCAGCAGAAGAGGCAGAGGGGATGACACCTGCCTGGAAGCAGGGTTGCAGTGTATGAGGCAGAGGGGACGATACGTGCCTGGAAGGAGAGCTGCAGCCTGGTTGGGTGGAAAAGCTCCAGAAGGACCCCAGTCAAGCTTCGGCAACTGGAGCTGAAGTGTTCTAGGGTCCCTGCAAGTGGTTAGGAAGCCGACTGGGTGAAGGTACTCGGTCGGAGTACAGGAGCTCCACCACATTTTCCCTGGATGGCTGTCATTGGTATTGTGATGGACCGCTGGCACTCCGACTGAGTACCTCCGCCAATCGATGCTCCTAGTGCTTGCCAAGGACTTATCCTGGAGATAATTGGCTTAAGTGGCTGTGGTAACTTAATTATCTCCAGTTACGGGAAATATCTCTAAGTCAGAAACTGTTACAAAAACCACATACAAATACATAACTCTTATAATACAATGTTTAACCTATATGTCCAACAAATCCCCAGATAGACAGATACAAAAGAAAAAAAGGGTGGCGCTAATTAACAAATGTGCTGATAGTGCAGCATGCAGCAAAGACACCTAAGTATACAGTCAATTAAATACACTTACATATACAAGTAAACGAAATGAGAAAAAAAGGTGATTGTGCAAGTTGAGTATAGCTCCACAGGTTTTGTAGAACGTCCCTAAGTTCTGTAAATATAGAACACCAACATAGGGTAGTATGTTTAAACATAAAGTATAAGAGTGAGAAGCTTGGAAGAACCTCACAATTTTTAGAGCATTTATAAGTTTGCTCCACACTATACAGGCAGAGTGCATCAATCAGATGTGCATATATCTGAGCTGGGTCCCCCAGGAGGTGTTTGCAGTCTTCAGTCAGGAAGATCAGGAACCAGGTAGCCAGATGTAGATATAATAAATTTAATTTATTGATACACAATAGAAAACAATAAAAAAGCACAACGCGTTTCGACCCAGTGTAGAGGGTCTTCCTCAGGTTACAACTGAAAATGTTCTTATTTTTATAAGACAAAAAAAAAAAAAAAATGATTACAGGTGTGTATAAAACAATCCCTCCCCTTTTCCCATATAAGGAATACTTCCGGTTTTAGGCCGTGTATTCCCGCATTCCCCAAGATGTCCGCCATCACCCCACATTCTCTATGCGTCCATCTTGACCTTCTCAACATGGCCGCAAGAAGCGGCTAGCTCTGGTTCATCGCTTCCGGTTTCCGTCTTAGTCAAAAGTCGCCACGTCCGGTTTCGTCATTGCGGCATCATATCCGGCGGCCGTATAGTGACGTATTCGTGTTCATCAAGGGGAGGGGTGGGCGGAATACATCCCAATATAATTGAGAGTCCATACAGAGGCCATATTTGAAAAGGGAAAGTATAAGGGCAATAAAAGAATCAGATTATTAAGTATTGATTCAGTCAAAATAAAATATATTATCAAGAAATAGAAAATAAGATATAAAATATACATATAAAATATTGGCAGTTGGATATAATAAAATAAAATAAAAAAGTATATATATATAAAGTAAAAAATTGTAACACTCAATAGGATTTAGCCATATAGAACATATTCCATAGGAAGTAGATATATACATTAAGCAAATAATACTTATAAAACATACAGATAAAAGTATAAAAGCTAATTGGGACTAGAAATAAGGGAATTTTTTTAAATATTTTTTTTTCTCCAATAAATTGTTTTTTTTATTTATATTATAAAATGGGACCTATCTCAAAGTCAATGTTTAATCCTTTGGGACATAATGTTTGGAGCTCAAAGATCCAACTAGATTCCTTTTTACTTAGATTAAATGTAATATTCCCTCCTCTCCAATGGGTTTGAACCTGCTATATTGCTGTAAATTGTAGATTATGCTAGCTTTAGTGTACCTATAATCTTAATTTTATTAATGACAGGAGGCGAGTATTTGCTTAAGTCTCTCTTTACTAGAACTCCAAAGCAGCACAGAAAAACAACCAATCAGAAAACAGTTAGGTACTATAAAACTCCTCTCCCCTTGCATCATTTCCTCTTTCAAGCTGCGAAAAAAACAGAATAAAAGGCAGAAAACATAATGGGGAAGAAACAAAGTCTTAGATATGATGGATACAACGATGTCCGCCATCCGAGAAGAACTGCCAAACCAGATAGCGTTGATGGACTGTAAACTGAAACGAGAGAAAAACAGAATCAAAACAGGTTGATTATCCAATGAAATGTACTCTGAATAAACATGTAGGTACCCAATGTAGCAACCAAAAGTACCTTAATATGTTGATTTCCCAACCCTACCTATGAAAAAAACAGACATAAGAACAAGCGATAGGTAGCAGAGACAACAAGCAGAGTTGCAGACGTACCTGATTAATCCAAACTATTAAAATTAAACAAGGGAGGGATAAGAATGGGTGGGAAATACTTGCCTCCAGTCATTAATAAAATTAAGATTATAGGTACACTAAAGCTAGCATAATCTACAATTTTATGACATGACAGGAGGCTACGTATTTCCTGTTTTACCTCTAAGTCAACAAATCCAACGCTGTTTGTTTCGCTGGAACCTATTCCGGGAGCTATCCGATCAATCCTAAATGGACTTTCCAACTGCGATAAATGACAATACCCGATCGATGAAGATGCCAGTTGACAAAGCATCCCAAATACGGAAATAAACACCATCTGCTGATAGATCCATTGTACGTGGGGTTGAGACCTGTTTCCTACCAGCCAGTCCATGAGCTGCCAAGCTGACCTATTAGCCATTTCCCTGTAGTTATAAAATGTCGAAGGTCATTTGCGGACTTAGGGCCGCGATAAGACACTGCCACCATGTCTCAACTCTTGATGTTTAAGGTTGCTCCACCGATCGTGCCCGAGTCACCCGGCGGTGTGGCCTTGCAAGCAGATCTTCAATCTCAAGGAATGCGCCTTAGTCCACCACCAATTCCCTAATAGAACCGAGTAGGATCTTTCGTTTCCTGATGGCCTACCCGGTGAGATGTCTCATCCGAGAATACATTTATTATGCAGGCAAGAGTGTGGCAAACTAGCTCTATCCCAAGTGATTCGAATATTCCAACTGGACTGTGTAATCCATGGCTGCGGTAGAGAAAGGACTCCAAAAAGGACGTCCAATCAGGGTCCCAAACTGAACTTATGTGGTGGAACGGTGGTCGACTATTCTGGAAATAGTGGGTCTCGGAAATATTCAAAGGGATGGGAAACGTAAACCATCCAGATTCCCATCCAGATGTCAACGTCTAAGAGTGATAAGATGTACGGATCCAATGGCGATTGGGACCTGTATAACAACGAAGAGTCCTCACGTGCTGTAGTGAGAGAGTAGGGGTTCCTGGTATACATGCCACCTACAAGATAGGGTATAATATAGTGAGACCCTTAGGTCCCTGTACCCCTGACTGTCCGGGAACGTATCTCCCAGAGTAGGGAGGAATGTGAGTTTGATAATTGAAGTCAAAGTCTTCCTATAGAGGGATACCTCCCTTCTTAGCTTGGAGTCCCGCGAACACATAGCGTTCTCCAATACGCAGGCAAGGCGTAAAGTCCCTTCGTTCATGACAGGTGACTCCAGAGATCAGATATAGTGAAAAAAGAAGGGTCTAGCTTCAGCCGTCTGAAACATGTGTTGTCCCGTTTGAGAATGTCGGCAGCCCTATCTGAGTCTGCTACACATCCTGAGCCGTACTCCAGTGGTAGGTTGTGACCTGATTTTGACGTCTGTGTAGGAGTCGGGGCACACCAGGTTCCTCCATAGAGTCTCGTAGGTCTCCTTGATGGTAGTTGAAAAGGTGGGTTAGCGCTAACCCCAACCAAAATACTAACTCGGATAGAAGGCAAATAGCAGGCTGGAAGGCAAGTCAAGTAAGCCCCACTGAACAGGGCCAGGAGCTAACCTTACGCAGGAATAACTACCGATATCTAGATGGATACCGGGAGGCAGTTAGAGGGTTAGTTGTTAAAGACAAGGAAACACTGTGTCCCCCTGTAGGCGTCTGAGTACCGGTCCCTGCCTGTGCGAAGTTCTCCTTGGAGATGTGCCGTTGCCGGGCTGGTGTAAACCGTGGATGCATGCCCGGGGTCTTCATAAGAAACCATGCCCTTCAGGCATGAGGTTTAAGGCCTTCACCCTTCCCACCACACTCAGGTGGCCGTATACTGGAGTCCTCTTGGATAGTATGGCAACGGTGCTATGGCAACACCTGCCTATCTCCATGTCACAAGTGGGCACTGGGTTTTCCTCAGTGATATTCCCCCAGGCCTGCGGCCTAAAGGGGGTTCGGCACCAATAGAGCAGGCCCATCAGAAGGGCACAGGCCCAGCAGGTCAAACGAATGGGCACAGAATAGTTGGCCAATCAAACAGGCACAGACATAGCAGGCCATTCAGATAGGCACAGACATAGCAGGCCAATCAATGGGGCACAGACATAGCAGGCCAGTCAAAGGGGCACAGACATAGCAGGCCAATCAAAGGGGCACAGACATAGCAGGCCAATCAATGGGGCACAGACAGAGCAGGCCAATCAAAGAGGCAAAGACAGAGCAGGCCCGTGATAGCGTTCCGACAGCCGCAGGGCCCATCTGCGTGTTTAGAGTTCACTATATATATGTGTGTGTAATGAAACAGGGAAACCTTGGGTTAAATAATTTCAATATGAAAAATCCACTAGCAGGGTAGTAATGTGATTATAACAGTATTTTTATATAATACCTCTGGATTAAGTTGCTATAATGTCTTCAGTCTAATATCACAGATGTTACAGCTACTAGTGATGAAGTGCTATAGCACTATACAGGGAACTGGCAGACTTTAATGTTTGGCCAAAGGCAGAAAACCAAACTGCAGGCATCTCAGAGCAGTACAGGGTGTACTGCCTAAAGCCTATTCTCCAGCCCAGCAAAATATTTATATAAAATGATATAAATGTGGAGTCATCTTGGGTTATAGATTAACCCTGAGCAGGGTGAAGGGCCCTCATCTGATATAAAAAACTCTGGCTGTGATCGGAATCCGGCCTTTATTGACAGAGGGGAGGAAAGCCCCTCAAACAGACCTCCAACCAGTTAGGAACAGACGGGGGAGGGGCTACGAGTGGTTGCACCCTCCACCGCCTGGTCGGACACACGCGGCGGGCGGAGCGGCTGCGGCGGAGCGGGCACGTGGGAAAGGAGATCCGGCCGCCGGGTGCTCGTCTCGAGCTCCCCTGCGACCGAAAAAAAACACATGACAGATGAACTCTGCGGTCCCAATCCTCGGAGATCGAAGGAAGCAGATGCAGTCAGCCTCCTGAAGCCCCCGAACGGCGGACACAGACACCGCCAGACATAAGGACAAAGGCGGAACAAAAAATATAACAACGAGCATACACAAAGTTGGGAGACGGACAGGGGGCACAAGGCCAATGGGATAGAGGAGACAGGAGGACCCCAAAGACCCCCCAGAAATCCAAACTAAATATGTATGGTGGGAATTTGAAAGGATCTATCGTAAAAAATCCCTTCTTCTCTGGAGCTCTCTGGAGCTCTTTCTTTGGTTTAGGTGAAATTGGCAGAGGTGTTCTATTGATATACCTCGATTTATACTGCCTTTTTTCGTAGGACTCTTCCAGTGCACCTTTTCTACATGTGGGAGAGTCTTCCTCCTTACTTGAGTAGGGGGAGGAGTTTTTGATTCATAATTTGAATTCCTATTGGTTACATTCCTATTTGTATGGCTATCTACCTCATATCTATTGCTAGTTTTGTGGGGATATCTGGTTCTGCTATGATCCTTGGTTTGTTTCCCGGGTACTTTTCTAACATTATTGGTAGCATAATCCTCCATATCCCTTTTATACTTTTTCTTCTTATTATTTTCTTCTTATTTCCAATTATCGAATTTTCAAGTTTATCAATATTTTTCCTTACTCTTTCTGATAACATATCGCAGTCCTTGGTGCCTATAAAGGGCTCCAACTTTGTATGTAATTTTTTTATGGTTGCATCTAACTCTTTTAAGTCCTCCTGATATTGTAATTGAGAAGGACTCTAATGCAGAAGTCCAAATTCCCATAAATTTAGTGTTTTCAAGATCGAAAGTGGGGAATTTGGTAAATCTTAAGCCCCTAGGTGTTCTTATCTTTTAAGTATTTTTCTAGGGTAAACACTTCCCACTTAATTTTGATTTCTCTACTCAATACTTTCTCTAATTGGTGAACCATATCATCTAGGTTATCAGTCACAATTAGCTCTTCTTTCGATTGAGATTCATCATTCATAAATGTATCAATAGCTGATTTGAACCAGTGATTTCTCTGTTCAAACAGTGCCATTTACAACAGATATATAAGCAGCCTCCTTTTACCAGTGACAACAATACAAGTATAGACAGATAAAAAAGAAAAAGGGGGTGGCGCTAATTAACAAATTAACAAATGCGCTCAGATCCAGATAGCTTGGATCTGAGTGCTCGATATATCCAATGTTAAAAGTGCCCTATAGTACAAGGAAGTCAGAAAACAGCAAGGGCTGTTGATTGAGGAGGGACAAAGCAGCCAGTTTAAACTGGTCTGGCAGTGTCCCTGGGACAACGCCCTGCTGGAGAAACAATAGGACTTCCCAAACAGTTAGGAGAATGCAACGTTTGGGAGAAAGGAACTACTGAACAGGTGGAGCATTCAATCCCTATAAGCCAGGGGGAGCATTCATCTGTGTTTGTGCAGGAGCCCCCAAAGAAGACCGGCCATCTACTTATTTTCTGTGGAACTGTTTTGGGACATCACCTCGTGGCGGCCAGTCATTTTTTGTAGGGTTCTTGTATAATTTTAATATGTTTTGGGGGTTTTGTGTGATTCTATATTATGTCCTGTAACTGAGAGATAATGGAGTTAAAAATAAATATCTCTCAATTATCTCTCAGACACACAGGCGCCTGGGAGGGACTTGTGCATTTCTCTATGGAAAACCCATGCTGGGGATCTGTGCATAAAAAGCCGAGTGTGGCTAGTTTCTGGGGGAAAAGGCTATAATCCCTACAGCACTTCTTACAGCTACGAGGACGGAACAGCAGAGGTACCTAATCGTGGTATCGGAGTTCCGCTTCCGGGGGTTTACAAGACATGCAGTTGGGATACGAGACATGCAGGGGGGCTTCAAGACATGTAGGGGGGGTTGAGAGACATGTAGGGGGGTTACGTGACATGCAGGTAAAGACACATTTTTAGGACAACTTGTCTGTGTAGCCAAGAATTCTGGTACCAGCCCTGAGTATATGTTACATTGACCCTTTCTGTGTGACACAGTAAACGTGTTGCTCCATTAATACATTGTTACCATAAGTGTCGGTGCTTTGTGCTTTGTATATGTTTGTCAGTGGCGGTTTCTTTTCTCAATTCCTCCCAGCGGATTTATACCATATCTGCCCACATCATGCTAGCTCTGAGGGGGTTAACACCTGATAAGCATTTATATAATGACATTCCTGGTATGTTAAACGTGCAATCTAATTTCTATTTTATAATTAATCTCTTCACTGCATGCTGAAAGGTTCTGTTACTGGTCACATATTGCGAGTGACTCAGCTCGATTAAGTAAACAGAGTTTTAAACTGATATAGAGTTTTCTTTCTCGTATACTTTTAGAATATTTTCCAGCAGTTTAAGTCGGATTTTTTTCACAGTAAAGTGATAGAATATTTATACCGGATAGATAGGTAATTAACGTATTTCCATCTGATACTGGAATCATATAGCGATATAACTTGTAAATATAATTTGGCTGGAGATTCTCATCGCAAGCACTCGCAGGACTGTACGTATAATGATAATATACTTTCTTCTGTCTCACTCAGTATCTATCCTGTCCAAGCCTCCTGCCTTAATATCTCACAAATTAGCTTTTAGTAAAAACATATTTAACAAGGTTCCCCCGGCTGCCGTCTTGGCTGGGTCTCCAGTCTGTGGGAGGATAGTTACAGCTTGTCCCTGTAATAACACTTCACTTGTGACTGTCAGCCCAGCGCGGATTTGTTCTCTATGCACAGAGAGAGCAGTAAAACCAATATTAGAAATGGCAGCCATTCAGTTTCCATATTACAGACTCTGAGTGAGGAGCTGGTATGTCTCCCGGCTCACATTCCTTCAACAGTTCCAAAGGAGCGATGATAATATAGTGAGTGTTTTGATGCAAACCAGCAGAATTAATCTCCTGTTCACCGTGCGTGAAATTTCTCTGTGAAACGCTGAGCATGAAGCCAGCTCAGTACGTTGGATCCTGCGAGGTTTGAAACATTGTAAGCCAGATATTGGACTCTAGATCTTTGTACGTCCTGAGAGGAAGGATAATAGATTATTGCACTGATTAGTAAACTAAGCTTTTTAATTGAATGAACGTAACAAAAAAAGGAAAAAACACAAGTGACAGACTTGAAAAAGTGACTGCTTTATTCCACCATCGAGATACTCAATGATTTTGGGTCCAATCCAAAGATCCTCATATAAAAGAACTGTGACCTACCAGCCCAATACCAAAAGCGGATAAGGATAAAACTCAAATTAAAATATTTAGGCCAGTAACATTGATCAACGTGGACATCAAAATGTATTCTGTGATTTTGTCTGATAGATTAAAGAATGTTTTCACCAAATTGGAGCACGTTGATCCATCATTTCATGCTGGCCCTGTCGCTAGATTCTGAAAAAGTCTTTGATAGGGTCAGCTGGATCTACCTCAAGGAAATATTAAAACAGTGGGGCCTACTGGCTTCTTTCAAGGTGCAATCTGTGCATTGTACAAAGCCCCAAGTGCCAGTATTACGGGTTCAGAAGCTGTATCACCCTGGTTTGAAATACCAAATGGC